AACTCCTGACGTAAAGAAAAACATTTGTGGAGCTCTAAAGTGGAGGGCGGTCGAGGGGAGGGACAAATTGTGTTTCTTTCAAATTATCAGGCTTAAAAAGAAGGCAGTCGCGTAAATGAGGTCGTCGACGCACCCCAATCAGGAGATGACCGAACAAAACTGCCTGCTACCTTCTTGCTACGGTAAGATCATTCAAGTTAAATAAATCCGAACTTTCAAGGAGCGAGATTCCCACTACTGCATCTCGGTGGGACTGTAATAGGGCAGCATGTTAGAACCAATATGACCGTTCGTGTTTCGGCCGCACGAGTTCGTCGTAATCATAGACGGAGACTGACGTCAAGGGGTTTGCAGAGGGGTCGACGAGGCATGTTTCTTTTTGTCACTACAGGTCGTAGTTGAACAAGTCTTTGTGCATAACACAATCGCCAATGTTCGTCGGTAGTGGACGACAGCGATTACCATGAGGGCGTAGCGAAGGATCTAGCAGAGCAGGAGGCTCAAAGTTCGTTGGGATCCAAAGTAGGCACAAAAGGGTTTTACAGGACTGTAGTGATTTGTGTGTCAGAAGGATCGAGTGATCGTCTACATCTGGACTGCGAAGACAATTACTCATGTTGCCGACTCCCGACGTGAAGAGAAACATTTGTTGGGCTTTAAAAGGGAGGATGGGACAGGGGGAGAGACAAAGTTTATTTGTTTTGGATTTTGAGGTTCGAAAAGAAGGTTGTCGTGCAAATGCGGTCGTCGGTGTACCCCAATCCGGAGATGAACGGACAAAACTGCCAGCTACCTTCTTGTTGTGGAAAGAGCATTTACGTTTGGCGAGATCCGAACTTTCAAGAAAAAAATTCCCACTATTGCATCGAGGCCGGACTATGGTTTAGAGCAGCATTTCAGAACGAAAATGATTGTTTGTCTTTAGGCCACACGAGTTCGCCAGAATCATGGAACGCGACTGGGTCAGGGGGTGTGTAGAGGGGTCGACGAGGCATGTTTCACTACCGGACGTAGTCGAGCAAGTCAATGCGCATAGCACAATCACTAACGTCCGCCAGTAGTGGACGACAGGGATTACCGGGGGGCCGTAGCGAAGGATAGGTGGAGCAGAAGGCTCAAAGCTCTTCGGGATCCGGACTAGACATAAAAGGGTTTTCCAGGACTGTATTGATTTGTGTGTCAGAAGGATCGAGTTATCGTTTGCATTAGGACTGCAAAGACAATTACTCATGTTACCAACTCCCGACGTGAAGAAAAAACATATGCGGGGCTTTAAAGGGGACGGGGGGTCGTGGGGAGGGACAAACTGAATTCTTTCAAATTTCGATGTTCGAAAACAAGGCAGTCGCGTAAATGAGGTCGTAGGCGCACCCCAATCAGAAGATGAACGGACAAAATCGCCAACTAAGATCATTCAAGTTCGACAGGATCAAAACTTTCAAGGAGAGAGATTCCGACTGCTGCATCGCGGCGGGACTGTAGTACAGCAGCATGTCAGAACCGGTGTGATTGTTCGTGTTTAGGTCGCACGAGCTCGCCGTAATCATGGACCGCGACTGGGGTCAAAGGGTGCGTAGAGGGGTCGATGAGGCATGTTAGTTTTTTTCACTACCGGACGTAGTTGAACAAGTCTTTGCGCATATCACAATCGCCAATGTCCACCAATAGTGGACGACGGGGATTACCGGGTGGGCGTAGAGAAGGATCTTGTGGAGCAGGAGGCTCGAAGTTCGACAAGATCCTAACTAGGCATAAAAGGTTCTTCGAGGACTATATTGATTTGTGTGTTAGAAGGATCGAGTGATCGCCCATATCTGAACTGCGGAAGACAATGATTCATGTTGCCATCTCCCGACTCAAAAAGAAACATAAGTGGGGCTTTAAGGGGAAGGGGGGTCGCGTTAAGGGACCAACTGTATTTCTCTCGGATTTTGAGGGTCGAAAAGAAGGCAGTTGACTAAATGAGGTCGTCAGCGCACCACAATCCGGAGATGAATGGACAAAACTGCTTGCTACCTATGTGTCCTAACAATGGGCAACGAACAAAATTAAATGTCGTTGTACCCGGCGTTGAATAGCCTCCGGAGCCCCCGTTGAATCCTGTTTAATGGGAAAACGGGGGTCTCCCGTTGAATGCAGAAAAACGGATTCGAGGTGTTGGGCTTTCGTACACGTGGACGCGGCCAAACACCAAAACCTGAAAAGAAAAGAAAAAAATGATCCCCCCGTACGAGTCCCCAAACCTACCCGGAAGCCCTTTAAACCACTACGAGCCCCAAATCCCCCTTCCCCTACCCGCCCCATCCTGCCATCCCCAAACCTACCCAGAAGTATGTGTGTGTTTGTTAGTGTGTGTGTGTGTGTGTGTATGTGTGTGCGCGTGTGATTGCTGGTGTGTGTATATATGTGTTTATGTATATGTGTGTTTGTGTGTGTGTGTGTGTGTGTGTGTGTGTGTGTATGTGTGGCATACTGCGCAGCCACACCGGCCTGCAGGGCCTGTCCCGCAGTCTCAGCCTAAAAGCCTAGAAACAAGGGCTTACATGCCCCGTGTCGTTTCAGCCTGAAAGCCTGAAAACGAGGGCCTGCAGGCCCTATGTCTAAAACAGGGCCTTCCAGGCCCTGGGTCTTTTCAGCCTGAAACGGAGGGCCACTTTCAGGCCCTCATAAGATCGACCTGCCCTAACACTCAGGCACAAAACCAGGGTTTCGGGAACAGGCTATTTTTGGCCTGTTCCCACGACAGCCTCAGCAGGAGCTGCAGCGGCAGGCCCTGGCTCACTTCGCCATTGGCAAAAGCAACCTCTTGGACTGCCCCGCCCTGTAGCTGCAGGCAGTCAGGAGGTAGGACGAGTAGTACATAGGGAGTTCCCATGCACTTCACGGGTAGGTAGAAGGCAGGAGGCAGTCTTCAGGATTCGGCAGCAACACTCTGGAGGAGCGCTGCAGGAGTAGCGTTAGCGCTAGCAGTAGTCTTCGGCGCTGGGCGCTAGTAGCTGCAGGAGTAGTCTTCAACGCAGGGCGCTAGTAGCAGTAGTAGTGCTAGTGTTGGAGAGAGATGGCTGGTGGAAGGCCAGTGAGACTTACCTGTGGCGCCATAGCTCCAACTCCATCTTCGAGGTACCTGCATCAAGGCGCCAGCTTCACAGGTTAGTACCACACACAGAGAGAGAGAGAGAGAGAGAGAGAGAGAGAGAGAGAGAGAGAGAGAGAGAGAGAGAG